CACTCGCCCTCTCGCTCGCCGCTCACCCTCTCGCTTGCCGCTTGCCGCTCGCCCTCTCACTCGCCCTCTCGCTCGCCGCTCGCCCTCGCCCTCTTGCTCGCCCTCTCGCTCGCTTGCTCAGCCGGCGCGGAGAGAGGAGAGCTCCCAGCAAGCCAGGCGGCCATCTTACGTATTTCCGAAATGGACGGAAATACAAAATTTTTTGGCGCCTGCCGTTTCGATATTTAAAAACCCTTCCGGGTTTGAAAATATGTTTTGTTATCGTTTCGTATATGCAAAAATTAACGAATGTTTAATGAATTAACGAATTAACGAACAAAACCGCACAGGCCTACTAGGCATCCTTGCAGACAGCCAATTATCTCACACCAGAAGTAACTTGCAGTTTCTCAAGTTGCTCCTGGCATGAAAAAAAAACTTTAAAAAAACAAAACAAATCTTGCCAAGAAAAATCTTTCATAAGTTGACATTATGATTGCCATGGGTCAGAAATGACTTGAAATGACACAAATTTACTCATGTAATATGTTGAAAAATATAATGATCTCGGTTGGTGTTTGTTCTGATCCAGCAGGATTATTTTCCAGACCATAAGAACCATAGGTTCAATGCATTGCCTGAACAAGTGAATTGATATGCTGTTTTAGATGTGTTGTGAAGAATTTGTATTTCAGGTGCAATGTGATTCCAAAACATGCAGATCTAAAAATAGCTGTATGAATAAACTTGGACTTCAGATGTCAAGAAAATTCTTCAAGTGGTATGCGAGGCGCTCATACAATTGTCTGTCTTTCTACATTGGGTGGGTAAGGTAGACTGCAAGTAATTAGGCAAGTTATGAGGGGTATTTTTTAAGTAAGGTCCGTTTTGTTGTAGACACTAGTAGTTCGTGCGCATACCGCAACGAGCGCGTGCGTCGTGTACCGGCATGCCTCGGGAACAACTGTGCTCAGTTTCCGCTCTGTAGCTAACCTGTACGGTTCTGTTCTGTGCTTTAAAAATGTTTAAGACTATCAACTCACCCTCCGCATGTGAGGTTCGCTTAGTGATACGGTTTTTGTCAGCAAGGAACCTGCCTGCTGCAGAAATTCATCGACAGATTTGCGAAGTGTACGGTGATACTGTTATGAGTGAAAGCAAAGTGCGTAAGTGGGTACGACAATTCAAACATTTTTATTATTGTTATTGTGAAGCGCCTGTTCTCACGAATCCTCGCTTCAACTGAAGCCACCAAATCGTCTGTAATCAAAGAAGGGCGACCGGAGCGGTCCTCATCATGGACGTTGTCACGGCCATCTGTGGGTACGACAATTCAAAGATGGCCGTGACAACGTCCATGATGAGGACCGCTCCGGTCGCCCTTCTTTGATTACAGACGATTTGGTGGCTTCAGTTGAAACGAGGATTCGTGAGAACAGGCGCTTCACAATAACAATAATAAAAATCTTTGAATTGTCGTACCCACTTACGCACTTTGCTTTCACTCATAACAGTATCACCGTACACTTCGCAAATCTGTCGATGAATTTCTGCAGCAGGCAGGTTCCTTGCTGACAAAAACCGTATCACTAAGCGAACCTCACATGCGGAGGGTGAGTTGATAGTCTTAAACATTTTTAAAGCACAGAACAGAACCGTACAGGTTAGCTACAGAGCGGAAACTGAGCACAGTTGTTCCCAAGGCATGCCGGTACACGAAGCACGCGCCCGTGGCGGTATGCGCGCGAACTACTAGTGTCTACAACAAAACGGACCTTACTTAAAAAATACCCCTCGTATATTGCGGGATTTTGGAAAATGGAAATCTCCATAACCTTTTGGAGATTTTATGATCTTTGGAAAGGCACAACCTTGTTAGAAGTCATAACCTTTTTGAAAATGCCATAATCTTTTGTGAAATGGCAATTTGGTTTCTTAGTTGTTAAACTGATGTACCTAGGTATGTCTTTGAACTGTTAGAAACAAAGATATGCCAATGCACTAAACACATACAGCAGAGTTTCAGAAGTGTTCTTTTTTAGTTGCCCCCCCAATCTAATAATAATAATAATAATAATAATAATAATAATAATAATAATAAATAAATAAATAAAATTTTATTTCTAAAATTTTAATTCAGCATTATTATTTTTTAAATGATTTTCTCATGAAATGCATATTTTGAAAGTGTTACGTTGTGCCGTTACATTGAACAGTCAGCGATTCCAGGTTTTAACTAGTTTGTAAATTTTCAGTTGTACATGCTTTACCTATCCACTCATGATTTTTTTGATTGCAGAATTTTAATTCCTTTTCTCTGTTCAGCTGTTAAAATGCTGATCCATTTTTTAGTTTAGTCCCGAAGGGACTCAGGGCGGCTTATAAACAAAACACAAACAATGCAAGCATCCGGAGCTATAAAAATATAAACATTTACACATACAATTAAAATAAACAACTTTAGCTAAAAAAAATATAAATAAGTCAGGCTGGCATTCAAAAATATATCTCTTTGGTAAATTAAGTTGTTATTGTCATTGTCAACTTCGTCCATTAAGATGGAATCAGTGATATTATTAATTCTCTTTTTTATCTACTCTCCTTTAATGGATATTTGCCTTTGTCAAGAGACAAAAATAAGCAGACTTGGGTTGTTGTAGGTTTTTCTGGGCTATATGGCCATGTTCTAGAGGCATTTTCTCCTGATGTTTCACCTGCATCTATGGCAAGCATCCTCAGAGGTAGTGAGGTCTGTTAGAAGTAGGAAAATGGATTTATATATCTGTGGAATGACCAGGGTGGGACAAAGGACTTTTGTCTGCTGCAGCTAGGTGTGAATGTTTCAAGTGACCACCTTGATTAGCATTTAATGGCTTGGAAGTGCCTGGGGGGAATCTTTTGCTGAGAGTGATTTGATGTGCCTGATTGTTTACTCTCTGTTGTTTTGCTGTTGTAATTTTTGAGTTCTTTAATACTGGTGGCCAGATTTTGTTCATTTTCATGGTTTCTTCCTTTCTGTTGAAATTGTCCACATACTTGTGGATTTCAATGGCTTCTCTGTGTAGTCTGACATCGTGGTTGTGAGAGTGGTCCAGCATTTCTGTGTTCTCAAATAATATGCTGTGTCCAGGTTGGTTCATCAGGTGCTCTGCAGACTTCTTTCAAAGTAACATAGCTGGTTTACTCACAAATGTCATGTATTCAGCATACAGGTACATTGCACACGAATCCAGATACAGATAGGGTTTGAAGTTTCTCTGTGTAGATAACACAGGGCATCTTACTTATAATGTCTAATGGCTTCTGTACAGCATTCTGTTCCTACTCATTCTAAAATGGAGTTCTGAGTCCTAAACAAGTGCACAGTTGCCATTTTTTTGTGGGCTAAGGGAACTCCATTTAGGGTTTGGACCCATCATTTAAGAAGCAGTGATCTAGAAGACCATATGATTCCTGACCCTGTTCTACATAGAAAAAGAATGCGTTTGGTGCAGATTTCAGTGGAGGAGCATTTGCTTAATGTACTTCTTATTTGCAGTCTGAATTGATATTTAGCTAGATCCTGGCTATAGGGAAGGTCATTTCTCCTGAGCTGAAGATGCTCCTGTGGGTCCATCCATGGCCTCTCCAATAGGCTCAACTAGTTGTTTCGGAAATCCAATCCTGTGTTTGATGAACCTTCTCTCTTGAGGATTATCCTCTCCAGCATATCTTGAAGTCCATTTTCCCCTTCTTTAGGCCCAGTTACTAAGCAACAGTATAAGAAGAAGGTATCATTTTTGTAAGGAGAGTGAATGACATGGCTTCACTGGTGAAATGGTCTACAGTCCAGGAAAATTAGATTAAAATGTTAAGTGGAACTTTAAAATAAAACAGAAGTTTAAAACACATGAAGCATTTCTATTACAACAGAGTTTCATACAGGATACTTCATGCAGTGCAATTTTTGTGGAAAATTTGGAAATTTTTCAGGGGAAGATTTTGCTGGTTCAGCCTTTTCTTCCCACCTGGCCAACATGCAACTGAAAACACTGTACAAGCAATTCCCAAGTTAGCATCCGACTTACAAATGACTTATAGTTAAGAACGGGGTGAGTCAATAGGAAGTGTGAGAAATCTATCCCTAAGAAGGGAAATTGACTCCCGGAAGAGTTATGATAGGGAAAAGGTGTCTCCACTAAAACTTTATCACCAAGTCTTGTCACCTGTAAGTGATCCCGAGATTACCATTTCCAAGCTTTGATGAGCTGCAAAACAACAATTTCAGCAACATGAAATGAGAAATTTGTATAATTTTGCCAAGATGATTCTGATTTTTTCAAAAGCAAATCCCCAAAACATATCACGATTGTCGTGATGTTCTGGCAAAAAAATTACATTTGGCCTTGTGCTGTTTTGAACATGGGTCAAATATCTTGATTTACAGCTGACAAGTAAAATATTTAGAGGAAAGAAGATAGGAGGCAAATTATATCCAATCAGAAACACTCTTTTACTTTATTAGAACCATGGTGGCTCAATGGGTTAAACACTTGTGCTGGCTGAAGGTTGGCGGTTCGAATCCGTGAAATGGGGTGACCTCCCATTTGTCAGCTCCAGACAGCCCCCCACAGGATGGTAACACATCAGGTTGTCCCCTGGGCAATGGCTCTGCAAACTGACAATCTTCTCACACCAAAAGCAACTTGCAGTTTTTCAAGTCACTTCTGACACAATTTTAAAAAAATCTTTTACTCTCAATGTATAGCTATGATGCTGGTCCATCTGCGTACACCTACACTTATTTATAGAAGTGTAAATGTTATTTAGAAATAAGGACAAAGATTCAAATGTAGAAGAAGCACAGAAGATCTGGACTGGTCACATGTGTGTTGTATGGTCAAGTGATGTTTTTTTCCTCCCTAATAAATATTAATTCCCCAATATTTTGTTTGTAAACAAAGCACCTTAGTAAAAGTTTAACTGAAAGAAAACAGGGCATTGTATTGTTTTGACACAAATGAGAGAACGAAGACTGCATATAGCTTTAAGAAACCATCACAACAGTAATGGGCTTTTATTTTAGCCAGGTGAGTGAACAGTTTTTTGCATTAATTTATTAGAAGTTTCAGGGTAAAGGAATCACACAGAGTATTCCAAACAAAGCAATCCAATTCATTAGAGAACATTTGCTTCTTTAAACTTACACCGTCCCCCAGTGGACTGTGTACAGCACATGACAGCAGAACAGTTTTTGCAACATCAGTCAACAGTGTAGAAAGTACATCCGTCAGGGATACCATTCATTGCAAAATCCATCATTTCTAATTGAACACTTTATTTTTGGCATGTATTTATACACCCTTATCACATGAACTTTTTATACTGCTAATCGTTTTTTTGTGGTGAAGACCAATATTAATTTTTAAGAATCAACATACATTAACTCTCGACATTAGACACCGACGTGTTCGACATTTCGAAAGACAACAAACATATGGCATTGCATTTGTCTTGTATTACTTCCATTTGAAGTATTTCTCATATTGAAACCCGATTTAACACTTAATTCTCATAAACTGGGTATTAAGTGGTGAACTTATTTTTGGATTGTACCATTTCAGATTGCTGGTGGAGGCTCCCATAACTAAATGCTACTCCATAAAAAACAAAGGGGGGGGGGGGTCCCTGCAAATAGCAAGTTGGCATGTGCAAGGGACAAATAGTTCACATTTATGGAGAAGAATGTAATTATGCAAGAATAAGTTCAGCCCCTCATCTGCTGTTTCTGGGAATTAGGCCTTTTCCCCTGCCAATAATCAAACATATTCATCACAGAGTGCTACAAATCAAGTTTTCCAGAGCTTTAAGGAATAGGTTTCCAGGACTGCAAGCATGGGAATTTCCAGAAAGAGAGTTATATTGAGAGAGCCTGAGGTATTCTCCTTATTCTCAGTAGAATTGATGGCACATCTGACAGCACATTTTATTATTGCCAACATAGATAGTCAAAGAAAGGAAGTCACTTTGGGGAAGATGGGAAAAAGAGTCAAATGAAAGATGAAGGCAGCAAGATTCATTACTTTAGTGTTCACGCTAAATGCCAGTTTTGCAGTTTCATTTGAAACCAACAGCGATCATGAAACGTCATGAAAGATTTTTAAAAATCTCCTAGAGCAATTACTAAATGAATAATTATCACACTAGATCAGTAAACCCCAGAAGAAAATAATAATAATAATAATAATAATAATAATAATACCAGTGTCATGTATCTTAGGTCCTTTCCCCACACAGTATCCATGCTTTAGACACCGTCCATAAACATCTGCCACATTTGGCCACATTGCACATTTTTTTCCTTAAAAAATGTATACAGATAAAAATGCCTTTTTAGATTCCTGGTAAAAATTCTGAAGTTAACATCCAACCCAAAGTTAAAAGATCAGCAAAAAAGGCGTTTAAATTATTATTTACAAATCCAGCATGTAAAATGTCCATCATGGCTTCTTTCCCATCCTCCTAGCAGCTGTCCATCTTGCAGCAGCTTCTACAGTTCTTGGGCCCAAAATCATTGATGATCTGTCATCTTCAGCAATTCCAGAAGAGCCCCAACAGCACCAAAATAACCCTTCAAAGTGTTTAGGAGAAACATGAGAAAAGCATGTTAGTAAAATTACTTGGGTTTAAGCCAATTATCCCAATATTACACAAATGTCACATAAAATGTTTATTTATTTATTTACATTTATAGCCCACCCTTCTCAAACCCGGGGGAGGGGGGGGGACGGGACTCAGAGCGACTAACATAGGCAGCAATTTGATGGCACAATATCAATAACAACAGTATAAAACCATAAATGCATAAAAGATTAAAAACAGTAACATTAGTTATGCAATCACATAATCACATAGCCACATAGCTGTTTCCAATTCTCATAACAGTTGTCTAGTCCAGTTCCATGTTCAAAGTGCTACGGCGCCCGCTAGGCAAAGGCCTGGTTCCAAAACCACGATTTCAGTTTTTCCTAAAGGAAAGGAGGGAGGATGCTGATCTAATCTCGCTGGGGAGCGAATTCCACAGGCGGGAGGTGACCACCGAGAAGGCCCTGTCCCTCATCCCCACCGTTTGCTAATCTGCTGGGACCGAGAGTAGCCTCCCCGGCAGATCTTAAGCTACAAGGTGGAATGTAGAGGGAGATACGTTTGGACAAGCAAGCTGGGCCGGAACCATATAGGGCTTTATAGGCCAAGACCAGCACTTTGAATTGTGCTCAGAAGTGGACTGGTAGCCAGTGGAGCTGACATAGCAGGGGGGATGCCGCCCGTTGGACCCTGCTATGTCGCTCCGGTGAGTAATCTGGATGCTGCCCATTGGACTAGTTGGAGTTTCCGAACAGTCATCAAAGGCAACCCCACGTAGAGTGCGTTTCAGTAATCTAAGGCTATTTTGGTAGCCAAGCATCTAACTGTATTAAGAATCTCACAGAGATACTGTAAAGCTATCATTAAGTCACAGAGCAACCACCTGCACTTCTGTTTTATTAGGTACTCGGAAATGCTAGGAAAAGGACCATGAAAATACAATGGGTTGTTCTCAAATGTTCTGAAAACAAGATGGTCAGTAAAAGATGAAATACCTCAAATATCCCACAAATGCCCTTAAGCAATTGGCTGGTTTCTAAAAACCAGAACACACTTATGGTCATATATAAATGGATTTGATATATAACTTCTTTAATTGGACTTGAAAAAGAAAAGAAAAAGAGCCATTAAAGTACCACATAAGACATGTGCCCAAATTTTGTTTGGACAGGAAACCCTCCATATTAAAGAACAGAGTCAATACACTAAATTACAGTGAAACTCTCTAAGCTTGGAACCCCAAGTTTCGGCGGTGTCCAGGGGAGCATTTGCACAACTCAAACTTGTGCGCCAGTTGCGCCCGTACCTTGGGAAGTCTGACTTTGGCCACGGTAGTCCACGCTCTGGTTACATCCCAGATTGATTACTGCAACGCGCTCTACGTGGGGTTGCCCTTGAAGACTGCCCGGAAGCTTCAGATGGTCCAGCGCTCGGCGGCCAGGTTACTAACGGGAGCGGCACTCAGGGAGCACACCACTCCTCTGCTGAGCCAGCTCCACTGGCTGCCAATCCGCTACCGGGCACAATTCAAGGTGCTGGCTTTAGCCTATAAAGCCCTAAACGGTTCTGGCCCTGCTTACCTCTCCGAACGCATCTCCACCTATGAACCGACGAGGACGTTAAGATCGTCCGGGGAGGCCCTGCTCTCGGTCCCGCCTGCATCGCAGGCGCGGCTGGCGGGGACGAGAGACAGGGCCTTCTCGGTGGTGGCCCCTCGGCTATGGAATGCCCTACCCATAGACATCAGGCAGGCCCCTTCGTTGCTGGAGTTCCGGAGGAAGGTCAAGACGTGGCTCTATGAACAGGCGTTCGGTCAACAAGGCAACTGAACTCATGAAGACGGTATAAATGAACAAAGGAATGGTAGAAGGATTATGAGAACGGAATCTGTTTTTATTGAGGCGTTGATGACTACGTTGTTTTGTCTTGTACTGTCTGTCGTGTATGTTGTGTTTTAACTAATTGTGACTGTTATATAAATTGCATTGTAAACCGCATTGAGTCGCCGATTTAGGCTGAAAAATGCGGTATAAAAATAAAGCAAATAAATAAATAAATAAACATGTAGTTGGTCTATGTGATATCGCAATAGGTGGGAAAGGCCTTTCACAGTAAGGGATAGGTTTAATTTTTTGCAGAGACCATGAAGAAGAAAAGGCTGCTCTAAGACCAAAATGTACAAAGGTCACTAGAAGCTACATTAAATAATGCCACCAGTTGATTATTGCCATGTTATGAGCTATCTGATCCATAATAAATCAATTTCAATCAAAATTATAAAAATAGACGAGCATTTAAAAAAACAACCCAGCTGAACTATACAATTTGTGCTTGTTCACAACAGGACTGGCAATTGTGGGAAGTTGGTGGGCTACATTAATCTTTCAAAAACTCTAAAATGCACCCCTGAAATGTCCCAGGACCCTCCCTCCTATACACACACACACACACACACACACTGCCCCACACACCCTATGGGCTGCATGAGGCTTATGGGCCACATATTGTCTACCCCGGTCTACAAGATGCTGCATCCAAATCTCCCTCTCCCTCTCATAGACATATACTCAGTATTCTTTTATTCAGTGCTTGCCGCTATACAAAGGTCTTATTTATATCTCTCTCCAGCTTCACATGGCAGCTTCCCATTCTACTCTATAGTTTATTTTGTAAATGCCAGCTGAACAACCGGCAATTTACTTCGTCTTTTTCATACAGTTTCGTGGCATCTGATTACACTATATAACACATTTTTTGTTTCTGGGTTATAAATTTCACTTCCTTGTTGGTTCTTTCATTTAAAAAAAAAACATGAAAAAGGGTTACTAAACAGCAAAGCTTTGTTTTTACTGGACATCTTGCAGGACATTTTGCTATAGTTTTTCAATTAATATCTCACTGAGTCTCAACCAATTCAATATAGTTTGTAGCAGCCACAAAAAACAAAGTTTCTGGAGTAGAACAACTAATTTCAAAGTAAGTACTGCACAATTAAACAGGAAATAACACTTTCAAACCAGAAACACACACACACACACCCATTTTTGATACATGGTGCAATGTTATTAGCAGCTAACCATGGCTGGGAGGGTCATTGATCCAGCAGCAACTTCCATTAGTACAGTGAGGAAGGAGATTTTCAGTGGCTCCCTTCCACCCCAACTCATATACTCTGGTGTGTGGAAAAACCTTCAGAATAGGGTGGAAAGTGGTGCAGGTAGATGTAATAATGTATGGGAGTGTGGAAAGAGCTGTGGAAAATTACTTTCCTCTTCATTCCTCTGACTGAGGTTTCTACTGCAACAATTCTTGCCTCTATCCAGTTAGTTCCATATCTAATATAGGAACAGATGTCAAATGTATTTGAGTGGATACATTACACACCTTCCCTTCCACTTTTGTTTTTAAGACTGGAGAAAATTGGTAGCCATTTAAATTTTGCAAGATTTAGATGACTAATTAAGCAAAGTTAGTATCCGCATAGTTAAAGCAATGGTATTCCCCATAGTCACCTATAGATGTGATAGCTGGACCATAGGGAAGGCTGAGAGAAAGAAGATAAATGTGAGAAGATCTAACCAATCCATATTTCAGGAAATAAAGCCCGACTGCTCATAGGAGGGAAGTTTATTAGAGGCAAAGATGAAGTATTTTGGCCACATCATGAGAACACAGGAAAGCTTAGAGAAGACAATGTTGCTGGGGGAAATGGAAGGAAAAAGGAAGAGGGGCCGACCAAGGGCAAGTTGGATGGATGGTATCTTTGAAGTGACTAGCTTAACCTTGAAGGAGCTGGGGGTGGTGACAGCCGACAGGGAGCTCTGACGTGGGCTGGTCCATGAGGTCACGAAGAGTTGGAAGCGACTGAGCGAATGAACAACAACAACAACAACAGTATCATCTTGTTTTCAAAACTCTTTACCTCGTGTTCCAAGAAGAGAGCTTTGAGTTGTCCCTTTGACCAATAGTCCATAGCATAGGCTAGTACCTTCATAGCAACCATGTTGATTCTCAAAAAGTTTCCAACGAACACCACTCTGTCGATGTTCTGTAAAATTTAAGTGAAATAATTACATTTGAAAAGGTACCCCTTTCAACTAAAAAGTTTGACAATTGCGTTCACAGCTACATGTTGTCTCTTTCAAAAATCAAAATTGCAACAAAAATATTTTATTTAGACAGAAAGACATTTTCTGGGAAACAGTGCAAATGTATACAGCTGCTGTTTTCTACAGATTGGCAGTCATGCCATTTTCTCCTCCACTTAATTAATGCTATTTATTTTTGAAAGCTGAACATGTAAATTGATAACATAATTTTTGAATATATCCACAAAGCACCTAGTTCTATACTTTTTTTTACAAGTCTCTCTAACTAGATTATGATTGTAATGTGTGTCCTGGAGATTCCTAAAGAGACAATTTTAATCAAATCTGTGAATAATTAAATTTGCAAAAGTCATAACTGCAACTTTGGAAGGACAGCTATTGACAAAAAACAGGAAAACCTCTCTTCTTGGAGGCTATATTCCTGGGGTGAGCAAGGATGGGTCCCAAAATAACAGCACATATCCTCTTATAGCTAGTAGCCTTTGGAGAAGCTATTGCACAACCTTTGGAGAAGCATTCTGACTTTGGGAAGGAAACCATACAGAAAGTGAAGAAAACACCAAATAATGGTGTCGTGAAGAAGTTGTGACTGTTTGGTGAAATGCTGAATGTTGGTCTGAAAAACCCAGGAAAGCTGAATTTGAAATTTAATGTCTTAAGTAGAAGACACAAGAAATCATGCTGTTTTGCTCTCGGTATTTACTATCTTCCTGCCAACTAAAGATATATTAAAGGCATAATTTCAGAATTGATCTCGAGTCAAACCTATTTATTTTATATAGGAGAAGGAAGGCATTTTTCTTTCTTGCTGGTTGTATGACAAGCTTAATCTGAAATGCTGTGTGGCATCCATTATTGTTTAAAATGACTAACTGCTCTAGAAAGAAAATGATGGAAAAATGTTAAAAATCACACTATGTATGTCACTGAAAGCTTGATTCCAATTGTGCATTTTCAGTCTTGAAGCTGACAGTCTAATTAACACCCTTGAGCTTAGTGATTAAACAAGCACCACATTCTTCCTCTTTGTTAATCACTGCTGATTATTTCTGCTTGAAAATCCTGAAAGTGCTAACATGAGAAAAACAAGTGCTAACCATAATCACACAAGCCTGTCTCTGACAACTTAGTGCTTTCTGTGGAATCCATACTCTAGTAAAATTAAGAACCACTCAAAATGTTTAGTATTTACATGACACTTTTCTGAAGTTCACTTTTCACCGCAATCACAATATTTATATCTTTAGGAGAATCTCAGAGTGTAGGCTTATACTGTCATTATACACATAATTTAGATAAGTATCTGAAGTTGAGCAATAACTGCTTTGCTGAGGTCACTTGGCAAAATCAGAGCAAACACCTAAAAACTAAGACAAGAACTCTTTAACTTTTTTATCACACTAGCTCACATAAACGTTTTAAAATGTTTTGGTCATGGGATATTATATTGCTTTACTGCTGAAAAGAAACATGTCATTATAAAGATTTCTCTTAAGGTTTTGGTGGAGCTACCAGTTATTTCTCAGCTCTAGAAGGATCCAAATGATGCACTGTGGAAGCAAAGGTGCCCCAAATGTGGGAATCACAGACTCCACAAAGAAGACATAAAGATCTCATTCTAAAGATTTCTCTTAATATTTTATCTCTATAGAGCAGTGGTTCTCAACCTGTGGGTCCCTAGATTTTGGCCTACAACTCCCAGAAATCCCAGTCAGTTTACCAACTGTTAGAGTTTCGAGGAGTTGAAGGCCAAAACATCTGGGGATCCACAGGTTGAGAACCACTGCTATAGAGGAATGCATGTAGTTAATGGTCTTCCTGTTAAAAAATCTCAATAATATTGTATCCTTGGTAGTGGGGAGAAAGGAAATAAATATAATTATACCTGTTGTATTTTGCCCAAAGCTTTCTGACTCAGCTTCCCATGCCCAAAGCACAGGTAAGAAGAACAATAGAATTTAGTCTTTTCTACTCATAAATTGGTCCTCACAACCATCACACTGTCAACGATAGGTTGTGTCAAACCCACAGATTTGTTCAGAACGGGAGAAAAGGTTACAATATTATGTCTTTTCCTCTCTATAATCATATGTGACTTTAAGAACAAGCCATTGTTTCTGTGACCTCAAAGTCGGCAAAGTATAGTTAGCATTTGCTGTCCAAAACGGAATTGGAAATCAAAAGATGAAATGAGCATTTGATTCAAATTTGAAGACCAACTGGAAATGGAAAATCAAGCATTTGGAAGTTTGCTATTCAAAACTCTGGTCTTGAAGAGCATGTGAAACAAATCACAGTTTTTGCAAACCATCAATATATTCAGAAAGCCAAGGGAACATATGTGCAAGTATTTTTGCTGTCAAGATAATTGTGGAAATGTTTAGTTTGTCTGAGATAAGGTGTCATAGGAATCTCCTTTATTCATATTATGCTTTCCTGAGCCATAACAAGTATTAATCTTCTTTCCAAACTAAATACATCAACAAAAGTGGCCATCTCCTCCTGTTAAAAGCAACCAAAGTTGCTCATTGAAGTCAACTCTCTGCGCTTTGATAGCCCTGTACAATGCTGCTTGAACTCCATGCCACAAGGCAACACTGTAAAGAAGCTGAAAGCAAAGAGAAGAAAGATCTGGAAGTGCTCCTGAACAAACATTATTTTGTGTCATTTAGGAATATAAATGGGAATAACAGTTAATGTCTTGAATTATTAAACTGATAACCTGTTTATGATCTCACCTTTCATTGGTATTATGACCAAAAACCGTACCCATGTACTTCAATATATATTAGCCTTGCAACCACTACATGCTTTTTAGGTTGCTAGCACCTTTTCTAAAGCACAATTGAGCATTATTGTTGAACAATGACTTACATCTGGCACTCCCAATACTCCAAAAGCTCCACTATTTATAGGTGTAGAAGTAATAACCAACTCCTTCTGGATGGCATGATACCATTATCAAATCAGAGTTTTCCAACCGTAACAGTTTCAGTTATTTCCATCTGTTATATAAGTCACATAAATTAGATATTTATGTGAGTAGTACAAGGGTAGGTTTGAAAGCCTGTTAATGAACACTCTTACCTCATTGAGAGCACACATCCGAGCAATGGAGCCAATATTATTGGTGATGGTAACCAATGTCGCTCTTGCTAGGTCTTCCTTACTGATGGAGTCCCTCTTTTCTTTACTCATCATGTTTCCAAAGCTGTGTAATAATATCAGAGGATAAGATTTTTCATATATATTTCAGAAAGGCTAAAGTTTCTAAAAATACGTTTTTGAACAGATTGTGCGAGAGAAACCTTTATATATCTATGCCATTGATTCAAAAGGCAAACCATGGACATTAACCCTAAAAAAATGATCAGAACTGCTCTCTGTAGTGAGAAAGAGTAATTTTGTATGAAAGTAATGCCATTTTAAAAAAATTCTTTGTTGCAATGTAGATACTTATGAGTGAGCATAATCATAGAATAAAATTCATGTGATGCTTCAAGTAATATTGTTTGGATATGAAGTGGACAGCGAAGATGTCGAATGATATATACACACACTGGTGAGAAGGGTAATCTGTTTTGCAAGGTGAGATTAAAGTTAACAATGATGCATCCTAAAAGCAAAGAAATATTATTTCAATCATTGGATTGACACTGAACTCAACTGGTCTCACTCATGAGGACTCTTCCTGCTTGACAACAGTTTATTAGCTATATAAACACTACAGACAAGGGCCAAATCCCCTTTATTTTCCATTGCTGAAGGTGTGGGGGTGAGGGTAATGAGTTGAAGTACAAAACTAGATGGGGTGCTTAATCCTTTCTTCACCCATTTTTCTTTTCCATGGGATTTTCAAACTTTACTCAGTTTTACACAGACCATTTGGAATGCAGCAACCATTAACTAAGAATGAAGTGTGTGTGTGTGTGTGAGAGAGAGAGAGACAGACAGACAGACAGACATTCTTGAAGCAATTGGGGAGTGAGAGCTAACAGGAACAAATTACATGCTTTTGCATGCAATATTTTAGGCCATCATAACTAAACACATGATTAACAATCAGCTACAGTCAATATCAAAAAGTAATCTGAATTAAGTATGTAAAGCCATGGTGTAGGTTCATCATAGCTTACCATTAGAATAATTTCAATCTCCTTGGGAACAATCTGGTTCAGCGAGACTGGATATGGCTTTGCTGTGGTTTTAGGGTCTTACTAAGGTTGAAGGCAAAGTGAGAACAATGTGATCTACAGGCTATATATGAAGCCTTGTAAGGTTTCCTATGCAAGCCCCAACGTTGGCAGTCTTTAGGAAGAGCCTGAAGACCTGGCTGTTCCAGTGTGCCTTTTCAGAATAGGAAACTCCTAGCATCATGTCCCAAATGCACTTTGTTAGAGATTTAGGATTGTCTGCACATTGCACCTACCTCCAAAAACCTATACATAACACCTGTCAAGTCCAGCACTTTTTAAATTTTGTCCATTACACTGGCCCAGCCTTAGGTTTTAAATGCGTCATGGTGTCATTGTTTTGCTTGATGTTTTATTATTTGCTTTATGATTTTTACTGTTGTATTTGTATGCTGTTGTTTTGGTGGTGGCCTTGGCCTTTGTAAGCTGCATCGAGTCCTTTGGGAGATTTTAGCGGGGTATAAATAAAGTTAATAATAATAATAATAATAATAATAACTGAACACATTATTCCAGAGAATAAAAAACTTGATTTTGAATGTTTCTCTCCCACAGAACAGAAACATACTCTGAAAATTGTAGTGAAATTTCAGTTACCAAAAAACTGAAAAGGTTTCAGTTACCAAAAAAGGACAGTGATGCAGCCTGGGCAAGAATGGAAGACACCAAAAATGTCCCTT